CATTTAAATATATGGATATCTACTTGCTGAAACGAATCCCGGCGTAGCTAACCTCAACGTGATAGGCACGTTACCATAATCGAATAAAATAATTCGAAGTGATCTGTATTCTGTCGAAACTGCCAGACGCGGATCGCGATTTCGATCTTTATGGATCTCATCAGCGCGTCGCAGACAGCTCCAATAGACAATCCAAAAAGTTGGTCTGTGTTCTGTCGGAGCTGCCTGCGACGCGCTGATGAGATCCAAAAAGATCGAAATTGCGATTGTTTATTGATTGTTTAGCGCCGACTCAAAATTAGTTTAAGAAGTTTTTATTTTATAATTTTTTGTGGCTATAATCTACTAATTACCACCACTACTACTACTGCTATTATTTTCCTACTATAAATCATCCCGTTTTCCTACCCTTAGGGTTAGATTTTTTTAAATTTAATGTTTATATGGGACCAACTTCGGGGTATACCCTTTCCAATAAAAAAAGAGTTATCAAATTTGGGCTAAAGTCAAAAGTAATGGGTGGTTATACATTACTATCGGTGAGTGAACAACAATCAACAATCATCCCCTGTTTTCCTACCCTTAGGGTTGGAATGTTTTTTCCAAATTTATACGGGACAAACTTCAGAGTATGCCGTTTCAAATAAAAAAAATATCAAAATCGGACTACTCAGTAAAAAGTTATGGGTGGTCGTACACAAAAAAAGAAAAAATATACGCGTCGACTCGAGAACCTCCTTTTTTTGGTCGGTTAAAAACCAGGGACATTATTTCAATTCCCGGCGAGGGTGAAACAACAGCAACAATTCTTCCTTATTACTTTGAGGTCTTCGTAACAGTAAAAATTAATTCACATTAATGTATCGCGATTATAAGTTCACCAAAGGTTCATTTTAGTGCATAAAGCACAGCAGCACATATACATTTTTGGTTGTATATGGAAGACTAGTAAAATTGGCTTTTAAATCGACACTTCAAGTCGAGAATTTCCATTTACGAGGGAAGTTGTTTTGGACCATTACAAAACTTCAGACAAAGTAGCAAAGCTTTC